AAAAGACTGTGGTCCTAGGCCTTCAAACCCAGAAAACTAATCTAGTGAGGTGTTTGGTTATGTCTATATGAATACACTTGCATGCACATACATACCTTTATGTACATATGCCTATTATATATCTACCTGTATACACTTATGGACCCACATATTTATACTGATACACATGTAAAAATGGAATGGGGGCAGTTTCTGATCTCCTTTAACTTTGTAAAGTGGAAGAGGATCGAGATCAACAGCCCAAGGGTGATTTCTGTGCGGCAGAGGTCACACATGCTTCCATCCTTCAATTTTTTGTCAATTCTGACACCAACCATTCTTCCCACAGCACTCTCTACTTCTCTGCTGGGTTCGATAATCCATTGCAATGGTCACACAGACTCACAGAAAATGTTCACAATTTTGGAGTTTATTAGGGAAGTTACAGGTTACAATTCAGGATAAGAGACAACTGAGGATACAGTTCTTCAATCAGTATAGCCTCCCCTCAGGCATGCATGAAGGCAGATGTCTCTCTGGCTCTTCTTTCTTGATGGTAGTGAGCTCTCCTCTTTCCACCTCATAGTCCCACCCAGTCATCTTGTGGGAGTCACAAAGACCATGGCTAGAAAGACCATACCAAGAGATTCACTGCACTGAATACATATATGCCTATATACGTATTGGTGTAACCATAACATATTTTTCATTGTTGTTAGTGTTGTTGCAAAGTCATATTTGTCATATCTTTTACCAAAAATGTTCATTTCTCTTGTGCATTTCTTAGTGACATCATTTACCTTGGGAAAGTTGTGTATGCTTTACATTTGATGCTGCCTTTCCCATTATGAAAAATAACAAGTGTCTACTATCTCAACAGTGATTTTCCATCCCCTCCCTGATGATCATGTATGAATTATTGAATGGAAAACTAATTTGCTTTGTTAACTTTCACCCAAATCATGATAAAAAGTTAAATATATCTGGAGCTTTGGCTATTTAGGGCCTATTTCCTTTTCAGATAAAGTTAGTGTGTAGTTGTTATATTTCAGTGAAGAATGTTGTAGGAATTTGTGTTGGTATTGTATTATCTCTATAGATCACTTTGAGAAGTATTGACGTTTTCATAATGTCAAATCTTCCAATCCATGAGCACAGAATATTCTTTCATTTATGTATGTCTCTTTAGTTTCTTGCAGTAATGTTTTATGGTTTTAATTGTATAGGTCTTTCACATCCTTGGTTAGGTTTAGTCCTAGAAAATTTATCATTTTAGAGTCTATTGTAAATGGTATTGTTTTCCTGATCACATCATCTGTGAATGGCTTCTAAGAGTTTTACCTAAATTATTCAAACTCATCACCCCACTTATTTCTTTCTTGGAACTTGACACAACCTGTAATATTCTGATCATTTATTTACTTGCTTATTGTCTCTCCCCCTTTCTAGAAAGTCCCAGCTCCATAAGGCAGAGATGTTTTCTCTTTATCACCATCATACCCCAAATGCATAGCACAGTATCTTGCTTACAACATCTGCTCAACAAATATTTATTGAACAAATGAATACCAAAGTCAATAATGTTTTAAGATTGTAAATAAGGGTCAATAAATGCAAATACACCAACTCAAATAAGAAGAGATATATGTTTGATTTGATTATTTGGAAGTCATTGGTGAGAGTAGTAAATTTTGAGTGGTGAAAACAGAGGTAAAAATGCCATAGGTTAGGAGTAATAAAAACAAACCAAACTCATTGCCATCAAGTCAGATCCAACTCATAGTGACCCCTCCTTGGATTTTTGAGGTGATATCACTAAGGAAGTAGATTGCCCAATCTTCCTTCCAAGGAGTGGCTGGTGGGTTTAAACTACCAGCCTTCTGGTTAACAGTCAAATGCCTTAGGCACTACACCACCAGAATTCTTAGCAGTAATACAGGAGGTGTGAAATTGGATAACAGAAAGTACTCTAAGATGTTTGACTAAGAAGAGAAAGATGGAGGTTTTGGTGCTACAGTCTTGGGGTCAAGAAATGGTTTTTTTTTTTTTTTTTAATGGAAGAGATTTGAAACTATTTCCATGTGAATGGAAGGAAGCAACAGAGATATAGAAGTTGAAAATATAGGGGTGGATGATGGGTTAAGATTCTGAAGAAGGTGGATTTCAGAAATGGAGCCTGGAATACCAATGAGATTAGTCTGATGGAACAAAGGATGCCTCTTTCTCTGAGGGGCAGAACATCAAGAGGGCACCTTCAATGTGCCACTTATTCCCCCAAAGAAAGCAAAGAACTATGGAAAAATGTGGAGCTTAATATAGTGAACAGGTTTCGTAATACCACTATGAGAAACTGAGAGGCAGTTGTCCAGGAGTTTATAAAGGGAATGACAACTGTCATTGAAAATACTGATGAAATCATAAATTTGGTATGAGTTTCTAAAGTGGTATGATTCATTCATCAATCAAATGGTTATTAAATCACACTATGTTCTAGACTTTTTAGTTGGCCCTGGACGTGCCAAGATAAATAAATCATAATTTCTACAATCTGGTAGGGGAGAGAAACAAGTATGCCAGTTAATAAAGCATCCTGATGAGCTATACTGGAGAAAAAACATACTACTGTAGCACAGAGGATAATGTGGGGGAGGTCCTGGTCTTAGAATGAATTGCTGCTGTTCAGAATGTCAGAATTAGAACTATTCTCAATGATAAGGAATCTTAGAGAAAGAGGTGGTTCACTGGAATGGAGGAAGTCATGTTGCTGTGAAATTAGCAAGTTGCAAGGGCATTCAGACAGATATTGAAGATGCCTATGAAGACAGAAAGAGTTGTATTGGAGGAAGTTGTGATGTGAGTATCTGAACTCTTGATGGATATTTTGGAGTGACTTGAAAATCAACATGTCCTAGTGTTGTAAGGACAGATATAAGATGATATAGTCAGATGATGTAAACATCAAAGGTAGAAGCAGTTGAATATGAGGGCCATATCATAGGGTCTGAAGATAACAGGAGAAGAGTGAGAGAAATGCCCTAATCAATCCCAGCCCTATGGCACATGGGGCATCAGAAGAAAAGCATCCTTCACTTGAGAGAATTACAGTGAAAAGAAGCAGGTAATGAAGATTGAGGATGCAGGAGGTTTTATATGATTACACAGAAGTTTCAGAGGATCCAGGAGAAAGTCTCAAGTTGTAGTACATAACAAGAGGGAGAGAGAGAGCAAGAGAAAGAGAATCTGAGCACATGTCCAATAAAGAAGCTCAATTTCCACGAGTGGCTGAAGATACCAGAGAGTCAAGAGTGGAAATAATTTGTCCTGAGATTCCATAGTCTCAGATGTAACAGTTCTAGAGCCTGCACAGGCCAGTACTCCAAGTAGTGTCAGCAATCTGCGGTTGGTCTGCTTGTAGTCGAGAGATTGCATGCAAAGGACAGCTCATACCCCTTCAAGACCAGTGCTGGGAGTAAACTAAGGTTATCGATCTTTTGAAACTTGGAGAAAAATTATCTTTAGTTCAATATCTGTTTTTTTTTTAATTTTGCTTTAAAAAAAGCTTTATTTTTTTCTAATTATGAAAGATAGATTCATTGTAATAAATAAATAAATAAATAAAATAATGCAGAAAACTAAAGAGAATAATTAATTACCAGATAAAGATGATGTAACATTTCTATGTCTAGCATCAATAGAATGCCTTGATACTTATCAGCTAGGAATCTGGATATAATACACATTGCCAGTCGGTGGTTCTCCTCCCTTCCACTCCCTCCCTTCCCCTCTCTCTTCACCTTTGGTCTTGCTACTTTTCTAGCTTTGTCTATATTTTCTCTAACTTCAGATCTCAGCCACCTCAAGATTTTACATTGTGCTCCTCCAGTTATTCATTAATCATTGAATGCATGTCGCTATTGTGTCTGCTGGCATTACAGGCCCTGTGCAGAAATGATATGGCTGTGACCATGGTACTTGGCATAGTTCTCTGGTTCCCTCAGGGGTCAGACATTGTGTTGCTACTGTGAGAGCAAGTCAGGAAACCACTTAGCTTTTCATATTCATTTATCAAGAGAAAATGCCATATTGAGAGTGAGGCTAACCCATCCTCTACAACAGACTCTGTGCTGGCAATCATTCTACTAGTTTTCACCAGATACCTATTCTGTTTTCACCACCAAGATCCAGTCTCTTGACACAGATACAACAGGGCAAGCCAGAGTGGTTGAATGGGCCTCTGGAAAATAAATGGTAATTTCAATTGCCCTACCACATCAACCACTTCTGCATTAGGGAACCCTGAGCAATGGTTTCAGCCACATGAAAATAGCACACATATGGCACTTCCTGTGTTCACATTCTGGCTCAATTTTCAGAGAAGGAAAGTAAAACATATCTAATAAGCACAGAGCTCTCACCTTTTTAGTGCTTGATAAGCTTGACCTTTATTTTACCACATAAGTCAAAACTACTATATACCACAACCCTGCTAATTTTTTCTTCTCCTCCTTCCTCCCATCTATCTCCTTCCACTTCCCCAGAAGCATAAAGCTTTCAACATCCTGCTGTCCATTAGCGTAAATAAACTCATGCTTTTAGAGTAAAAATTATCTTAATACTGTATTAGGAAAAGACTGCATTACCATAAGAGGATAAAAATATTCTTGAGTAACAGGTAGACTGTATACTTCAGAGGCGATAACATGCATTTATGGTGGTTCCCCGAAAGTCAATTATTTTAGCCATAGATTAAAACCTTAGGACTCAGCACAAGTGCCATTTCCACTTCAGAAATTCTTCAACCATGTAGTGTCTCAAGATACATACCTTCATGTTTTAATTTACTTTTCTGTTGCCAATATGTTATAAGCAGATCTAAGAAAGAAAGAAAAACAAACATGATGTGCCATTTAAATTCTTTTTTTTCTGTATAAACCAATGAATGATACTATTATAGTTTTTCTCCTTGTTGTTTTGTTACATCTCTGTTTTGATTTAAATTTTATGTAATATTTATATAATAGATAAGAAAATTCTGGACTAAGAAAGAACAGAAGTGGCAAGAAATGGAAACGAGAGATCTTCAGCGTCTAGAAGAACTGAAGAAATTAATGGCTAAACAGTCAGCGAAAGACAGAGAAAGGTAACAGAAAAAGTTTAAATTATATGGCAATGGAGGTGGTGAACAGAGTCTTCTGTGATATGTTAGGATAAACAATAGTAGAGGGACCATTTCTCTACATTTAATGTATCCTTATATTCACAAATAGATAAAATGATATAGTTTAAACTCTCATATTTGCACATGAATCTCAAATTTATCATTTTGTTCCTTAGATTTCTGGTTTAAATCTCGAGAGGATTTTTACAGTCCTTGGTTCTCCACTGTGTGCATGAAATGATACTGGCTATTGCAGTGATTTAATATTTTGACCCAGAGAAACTATTATTCCGATAAAAAGAGAGATCTATTTACTGTGACGCAGGGTAGGGAAGACAATAGATAATTATACAATGCTTTATGTTCCTCATTATAATGAAAAATCTGGATTTCCTACAAACATGTAACCTAAAAGCTAGAATGGACAGTTGGCATCAGCTATCTAAGTCACCTCATTTTATGAATGAGTATACTTAGGGATTAAAAATATTTTTCCAAAGTTACTGTATCATTCAAAGTTCAGTCAGAAGACAGAGACAACTCAGTAATTTGAACAGGGAAGTGTAAAGACTTAACTATAACAGGATGTTACATGAAGAGATAAAGAGAAATCTAAAAAATAGCCTAAACCTGTGAGAGAGTTCCTAAGGAAGAAACAAACTTGGAAGTGGATCCCTCCTCTCCAAGGTTAGAGAAAATGTGGTTGTGGCCCACTGGATGGCAGAGAAGTACTTGGGTGAACTAGGCCAAAGATGACCAACAGTTGCTGAGCAATCAGGAAACACCTCTCTTGGGTGCTGACAAGCCAAGGATGGGAAGCTGTCCATTGGGATGGCCACAAGAGTTGCTAGGGATCTGCCTATGAGAGTGACCCTCATTTTGATAGGTTGTTAACCACGGGGCTGCTGCTGAAACTCCATGTGTTCAAGTACCACTGGGTGTCCTCCAAGAATTCTGCTGGCAGCAAATGATAGAAGTTACAAACCAACCCCCATAAAGCCTATTATATTAAAAATTCAAGGTATATACAATAGTTCTTAATAAAAAACGGGCACTACTTTGCATTGTCCATCAAAACATTATTGTTGTTATTACTGTACTATTATGTTGAAGATGTTTTAGTGTATCTGGCAGTGTTTCTTTTTCTTTTTCTTTTCTTTTTTTCTTTTGCATAGATAAGTATACTAGATACTAAGATAAATACTTGACTAACTGATGTTACATACAAACTGTACCTGACTATTCTGACTTAACATATAAATTTGACTTAAAGACAGACTTAGGAATGGAATCTGGGGACTGCCTGTACAAGTAAATACCAGAAACAGACCATGCTGTGAGGTCAGAAACAAAGAGGTAAACAAGAAATCCCACAGAGTGACATACTAAAGGAAAAAGCAAAGGCTGTTGTCAAAATACTGGTTAGACGGTCTGAAACCTTGTGCCAAGAAAACAAAAGACAACCACAGAAATTAAAACAGGTGGGAAAAGCAGAACAAATGTGGGGGCCCAGCATCTAGGAGACAACCTGCTAATAGAATCATCCTTCATAGTCAGGGAGCTTCTTTGATCACAGTATCATTTCAATCTTTTACTGCCTGTCTGAATAATTACCAAAATTAGCAGATTCAGAACTTCGACTGAGAAGAATAAGAAAATAAAAATAATCTGTATTACATAACAGGGAAAAAATTGGCATTTCCCATAGTGATAAGGACACTAAGGACTAGGACCCAGGAGACTGGGTGTTAACCTTAACTGTTCTTTGCATTGTGTATGACCTGGGGAAAGCCCTTTATTTAACCTCCACAAAACTCTGCTTTGTCCTCTTTAAAATGAAGGGGTTGAAATAGGTAACTTCTGAGGGCTACATGAGTCTATCTAGTTTTAACAGCTTATGCTCTATATGCTGGAGGAGCTCTGGTGCTGTAGTGGTTAAGGCATTTGGTTGCTAATCAAAAAGTCAGTGAATTAAACCTGCCAGACATTCTGTGAAAGAAAGATGGGCAGTCTGCTTCTGTAAAGATTTACAGCCTTGGAAACCCAACAGGGGTGGCTATGAGTCATAATCGAGTTAATAGTGAGTTTGGGAGCTCTGGTGGCACAGTGCCTAAAGCATTTGACTGCTAACCAGAGGCTGGTGGTTCAAACCCACCAGCCACTCCTTGGAAGGAAGACTGGGCAATCTACTTGTGTAGAGATACTGCCTTGGAAATGGAAAGAGGGGTAGCAATGAGTCTGAACCGACTGGACGGCGGTTAGTTTAGTTTTGGTTTGGTATACTCTTATGTGAAATGCTATAAATTCAGATAATTATGGATCCAGTGCTTACATGTTGTTGTTGTTTTCAGGTGCTGTCAAGTCAGCTTCAACTCATAACGACCCTATGTACAACAGAATGAAACACTGCCCAGTCCTGCACTTGGCTCACAATCCCTGCTATACCTAAGCCCATCATTGCAACCACTGTGTCAGTCTATCTCATTGAGGGATTTCCCCTTTTTGCTAAGCTTGATATCCTTTTCCAGGGAATGGTCCCTTCTGACAACATGACCAAAGTAGGTGAGATGAAATCTGGCTGTTCTTGCTTCCATGGAACATCCTGGCTGCACTTCCAGGACAGATTTGTTAGTTCTTTTGGCAGTCCATGGTACTTTCAGTATTCTTTGCCAATGCCACAACTCAAAAGCATCAAGTCTTCTTCGTCTTCTTATTCATTGTCCAGCTTTCACATGAATCTGAGCCTACTGAACATACCATGGCTTGGGTTAGGTGCACCTTAGTTTTCAAAGAGATATCTTTGCTCTTCAGCACTTCAGAGAGGTGTTTTGCAGCAGATTTGTCCAATGCAATACATCATCTGATGTCTTGACTGCTGCTTCCATTGGTGTCGATTGTGGGACCAAGTAATATGAAATCTTTGACAACTTCAATCTTTTCTCCATTTATCATGATGCTGCTTATTGGTCCAGTTGTGAAGATTTTCATTTTCTTTATGATGAGATGTAATCCACACTGCAGACCATAGTATTTAATCTTCATCAGTAAGTGCTTCAAGTCATCTTCACTTTCAGCAAGCAAGGTTGTGTCATCTGCATATTGCAGGTTGTTGTTGAGTCTTCTGCCAATCCTGATGCCACGTTCTTCTTCACATAGTCCAGGTTCTTGGGTTATTTGCTTAACATACAGATTGAATAAGTATGGTGAAAGGATACAACCCTGACACATCCCTTTCCTGATTTTAAACTATGCAATATCCCCTGCTCTGTTTGAATGGCAGCCTCCTGGTCTATGTACAGGTTCCTCTTGAGTACAATTAAGTGTTCTGGAATTCCCATTCTTCTCAATGTTAGCCATAATTTTTTGTGATCCACATAGTAAAGTGCTTTTCATAGCCAATAAAACACAAGTAAACATCTTTCTGGTATTCTTTGCTTTTGTCCAAGATATATCTGACATCAGCAATGATATCTAGTTCCACATCCTCTACTGAATCCAGATTGCAGTTCTTAAAGTTTCCTGTCGATAGTGCTGTAACCGCTTTTGAATTATCTTCAGCAAAATTTTACTTACAGTGATATTAATGATATTGTTCGATAATTTTCACATTCTGTTAGATTACCTTTATTTACAATGGGTACAAATATGGATCTCTTCCAGTCAGTTGGCCAGGTAGCTGTCTTCCAAATTTTGTGGCATAGAGAAGTAAGTGCCTCCTGCATCCATTTGTTGAAACATCTCAATGGGTATTCCATCAATTCCTGGAGCCTTCTTTTTTTTACCAGTTCCTTCAGTGCAGTTTGGACTTCTTCCTTCAATACCATTGATTCTGGATCATGTGCCACCTCCTGAAATAGATGAACATTGACTAATTCATTTCAATACAGTGACTCTGTGTGTTGTTACCATCTTCTTTTGATGTTTCCTGCATCATTCCCATAGAAACTTTCAGTATTGCAACTTGAGGCTTGAATCTTTTCTTCAGTCCTTTCAGCTTGAGAAATGCCAAGCATATTCTTCTCTTTTGGTTTTCTAACTACAGGTTTGCACATTTATTATAATAATTGACTTTGTCTTTTGAGCTGGTCTTTTGAAATCTTCTGTTCAGCTCTTTTATCTTGTCATTTCTTCCATTTGCTTTAGCTACTCTCCATTCAAGGTCAAGTTTCAGAGTCTCTTCTGACATCCATTTTGGTCTTTTCTTCCTTTCTTGTCTTTAATGACCTTTTACTTTCTTCATGTAGGGTGTTCTTGATGTCATCCCACAATTCCTCTGCTTTTTGCTCATTTGTGTTCAATGCATCAAGTCTATTCTTCAGAAGGTCTCTAAACCCAGGTGGAATATAATCAAGGTCATATATTGGCTCTCACGGAATTGTTTTAATTGTCTTCACCTTCAACTTGAGCTTGAACATGAGCAATTAATGGTTTGTTCCACAGTCAACTCCTGGCCTTGTTTTGGCTGAAGATGTTGAGCTTCTCCATCGCCTCTTTCCACCGATGTAGTCAATCTGATTCATGTGTATTCCATCTGGCAAAGTCCATGTGTATAAACACTGTTATGTGTTGAAAAAAAGGTATTTGAAATGTTCCTGAACTTGAATTGTAGCCTGGTACTTCCCTAATAAACCCCATAATCTGTGAGTTCTATGTGGCAACTGCAGTGAATTTTTGACCCAGCAGAAAGGTGGTGAGTGCTGTGGGAGGAACGGTTGGTGTCGGAGTTGATGAAAGGACTGAGGGAGGCAGCATGTCTTGCCTCACAGGAATAGGCCTTGGGCTATTGATGGTGATTCTGTCTTCCTCTTGTGGGGTTAGAGGAGGTCAGAAGATGTGGCCTCCCTGCCCCTTTGGCACAATGCTAACACTAAGAAACTTGTGTAATTGTTTAAAACATGTTCCTGTACAAGTGAAATACAAGTCACAAACATCATGCTTGATACTTTAACTGTAGAGACATTTTTTTTCATATCAGAATAAGA